TATTTGACGTTCGTAAAATGCCCCGCGACATAACATTACCAACTATCAACGCAACACGAATTATGATGGGATAGAAAGTCAAACCTACTAGAGTGAACGGGCTACGTTTTCATGAAACGAGCACCGTATTTGTAAACAATTGTGAAAGGACAGACCAGTAACACTAACTGTGACCTTTGCTACAGTCACCACATATGACATTCAAAGCCGTTCTAATTTACATAGCTACACTCATTACAATGGTACCTACGAGGGCAGCGCTGCAAAGCCCCATAGTGACAGATTTCTTCGACCCAGAAATCTTTGGTGGGGGCGGTGGGGTTCCAGTAGTCCCGCCAGTTGCTCCCGAATAGTCGCATTCTTGCGCCTCCTCCCAACCAGCAGGGATAGCATTTTCCGGATAGAATTCGGCCTGAGCTTGTTTATAGTCAGAGCAGTAACATTTCTTCATTCCACCGTGGCATACACGACCAGACGGAGGTTCCCATACCAGACAGTATCCACCAGCCTCAACCTGGGCACAGTAGTCCTCCCAACAGTCCATCAACGTGACAGGGTCTGGATAGATACAAGTCGTATTACTTCCCGGATTGAATTGTGTATCATGACAGAAACCCGTTGGGCAAGCCATTACAACAGTCGTGTTAGCAGCAGTGGTAGGAGAGGCCGGAGCAGTAGTCACAGCACCATTAGTGACGTCAGAAGGAGTGGTCAGAGCAGCGGCAGTGGAGCCCCCAGCTGGAGCTTGTGTCGAGTTTGAAGCGTTACCAAATCCTGTGGTATCATCACCAAGCACCCCCCAGACCAGCATACCCAAGTATACAAAGAACGGCTTCATCGTGGAGCCAATAATCAATTAACGCAGAAAGACGATTGAATTACTTGATGTCTAAGGCTAGCCTCGAGTTGTCTCTCCCACACAAGTCGTTGTGTTCCACTTATCGCAGAATATCTTTACTCGCTAGAGGAACAGTCGAAGGCTGTTCAGAGAATTCGAAAGAGAATAACAACTTTCAATTCCTCCTTTTGTTCATCACTGGTACATATGCTAATGCATCCAGTTGATTTCGAATGATCCACAAATATGTCTTCAATGGTATTGTTAAATCGAGTTCAGCAAACTCTCGAATGCTTCTCTGCCCTCCGACACCACTTACGCCGCGTTCATTCCACGCATTTGACAACACCACAGATTGATTATCAATAATTGATATAAGTCGCGACTAGGGAAACATCACCACAGACTGATTATCAATAATTGATATAAGCCAAGACTAGAGAAACATCCACGATCAGGCCAGGAGCGTGAAAGCGCTTCCGCGAAGGCTTATGCAACTGAGGACGCAAAACCGTCAATCAGAGCTCGAAAGCACGATTTGTACAGCAGTTTTGTGTCGGTGACCATACTTGAAATATGGACTCTGCCAACTATCATATAAAGGAAAGGACGCTTGTCCTAAGTTGAGTTGGTACATATAGATGACGTGCATCAGCACCCCACGAGAGGGGCTGCACATAATAGCAACCTAGAGCTTGGTCTCATAACCACAGCGAACAGCAAACGTTGACAAACATTCAGAGGACTTGGGCAGCAAGGATAGAGCCAAACACAGCAAGCCCTCCATTGACTAGACCAGTTGCACTGCTTGTAACAGGAGTAGTAGTAGTTTGCCCATTGTCGCCATGCCGATAGCCAGGATACTCGTCAGGAGACCCATTGTAGTCACAGTCAGGGGCCACCTCCCAGCCAGTAGGAACATCCGATGGCAACACGAACCGGCCTTGTACAGCCTCATATTCCGAGCAATAACACGGTTTATTGGTTCCAGAACACTTGCGACCAGATGGTGGCTCCCAAACAAGGCAGTAGGACCCCACCTGCACTTTATCACAGTATTTCTCCCAACAGTCCATCAATACAATGGGGTCAGGGTATATACAAGTCGTCGTACTCGGTGGGTTGAACTGCGTATCCCGGCAGTATTTATAGGGACAGACGAACACAGTCGGCGTTTTGCTCGGTGCCCCTGTTGTAGTTGCCGTTGTAGGGGTGATAGAAGTCGTGACGTTGCGCGACGCTGTCGAGGTCAGTGGTGCACTCCCCGACATGGAGGGCGTTGTTGAGGAGGGAGATAACGTAGTAGATGCCGAACCAGGAGACTGACTCGTCACACTCGGGACGCCTGTATAGCTTCCAGTCGATCCCGAGTCTGGCGATAATCTCCTCGTGGCACTAACAGCAGCAAACCAGACATAGATCAGTAAGACTCCAACGCTCTTCATAAGACAAACAGGAACAAGCAGGGAATGGAAAGTTCAGTACTCCTGCATGTCGGTGCACCCGAGAGCCTCATCCCCGTCGGGGACATAGCGTTGCACAATGCTGACCCAAGACCCGTGTTTTTGTGACAGTGGAGCTCTCAGATCGACAATCATATTCAAACATTGGCAAGTTAGCAAGAAGAGGCCCGAACAGTGGCCGAGAATAGCAATGTCAATATCGCCAAGGAAATGTAACCTCGTTTCCTAAGCACTGATATTTTCATGTGTGAGTTTATAGACCTCAATTTCACAGCAAAGTTTTCTCTCCACATGAATCCACACGAATCCGCTCTATGTTACGTTGATAAATCCATTACACGATTGACGACCACTCCTTTCAACAACATCTCTATTCAAATACCCCAAACCATTAACACCGAACGGAATGAACTTGTGTTGATTCAACTCGGAAACAGAGGCTACATCACAAGAGCAGTAGTTGAGTGATAATAATAATCTACGACACAGAAACAAGTGGTAAATTTAGTCATATACACAAACCTTGAAACCTCTTTCCTGATCCGCAAAGACAGGAGCTCACCGCCGCTTACATTGACCAACCAGAAGTGGACTCGGGTGAACAAAACACCTTAGCAGTATTTGATACCCTGTTAGTCTTTTCCTCACGACGAGATGCTTCTGAGTTCGTCGAGGAAGATAATGATGGTGATAATGCTTCTATCTTTACACATTCGGAGACAGGCATGAAGTAGTGTTATACAAAACACTTGGAATATAGTCGCAGAACACCGTATAGTAACTAGAATAACAGACATACATACTACTGTCAATTGATAGTAGCAGTACATAACTAGGAGAAACCGATAATACTTCAGAGAACGTTACCAATAACGAAGGTTCCGAGGGCCGCGCCACCTGCAACTGAAACCGCGGTTCTAATGCTGCTAGAGGCAGGAACGACCGGGGGAGGAGCCGGAGCCCTAGTAGTGCCAGTGGCTCCCTCATACACACATTGCTGAGCCGCTGACCATCCATCAGGCATTTGATCGGGATAGTAGTGTTTCACAGTCTCCGTCTGATAATCCGAACAATAGCACTTCTTCATACCACCATGGCACACACGACCGCTATCAGCCTCCCAGACGAGGCAGTATCCACCAGGCTCAATCTGAGCACAGTAGTCCTCCCAGCAGTCCATCAGTGTGACTGGGTCGGGCGTAATGCACGTGTTGTTACCAGGATTGAACTGATAGTCGAGACACCAACCAGTAGGGCATGCAGGAACTTCACCAGCAGGCACAGGTGTCGTACCAGTCTGAGTACCGTTGTTGTCACCACCAGTAGTGCCATTGGAGAGCGAGGACGTAGGACCATTAGGGGAGCTTCCTTGCGACGGAGCAGTAGTCACAGCAGGACCAGATGGCGCCGCGCTGCTGTTGCCAGCAGATGTCGTTACGACAGTACTGTTGTCAGCAGCAGCAGCCCCAGAAAGGGCGATCAAGTACACGGTACTTACAGCGAGTGATTTGAAGAGCTGCATGAATAGAAACACGAAGGGAAAGTAGTAACTTCGAGAAATACTATTCGTCTCCAGCACACAAGGGGTAGCTAGAGCTTCGTCACTGCTAGCACGCAATCTCAACTTCTTCCCATAACAGACTACAACATTCCTGTAGTAAAGGCAACAACACCAATAAACACAAATCCCCACGAAGACTAATAATAACGTGTAATGTTGGTAGAGAAACGTTTGGACAGTTCTTAAAGTACATTTTAGTGAGAGCCACAGTAAACCACTTCAGCTCAAACCCACAGCTGAACACGGCCATCTCCCATCGTGAGGAGGACCCAAGGTTGATGAGGGTGCCACGAACAAGATAGGATTCTGCCACCATCCTTAGGGCGTAGCTTCTTCACTGGCACTACCAGCGGATTCGACATAGCATCATTGTACCTTCAAACGACAAAGCAGTAACACAAAAAAGGGGACAACGGCGACACAATTCCGATTCGGTAGGGTCATGCATGCTGCTGACTTACACCTTCGCGTGGAATATATGAGCACTGCCATCATCAGAACAAGTCGCCATCAGAGGGAGCCTCCCAGCGGCCAAAGGATGAAACTCAACATCCCGTACCACTCGCTTGTGGTACCTACCATGAGAACAGTGTGATAAAGAACATCACGGGAGGCCTACCGCCAGGTCTTCCAAGGCTTGTTGCCAAGCTCGTTATCGAACCAACACAGCCTTCGGTCCTGACTAACTATGGTCAAGTGCTCACCAGTACCAGGGAAGACCGAAATAGCCATGATATGCTGCGCCCCCGAGACATAGGTGCGCACCAGTGACTGAGCTTTCAAGTCACATAACCGAACCTGATAATAACGTGAATAACACCTGTGAGTGAAATCAAATCTGCACGCGAACACATCGCCATCTCGAATGTGCACGCGTGCACAAACTCCACAATTTCCAACTCACATTCTTCTGAGTGCAGATATAAAACTGCGGTTTTCGTGGGTGGAAAGTCGATGCCTGTATCTTCCCTCCCTTCGACTTGCTAAACGGTCGGATAGTCTTCTGGGACCTCAGGTTATGTATCACACATTGAGACCTCACTTGGACAGCATTGGGCGCCACATGTGATAAATACCATCCTACATAAACCACTCAGTGTTGCATAAAGTATAACCCCAACCTACCCCTGGGATGCCACGTTAGCTTAGTGATATCAGCACGCTCATCAGCCCTAATCAGAAGCCCCTCGAAACCCGGCGCATCAGTGACTGCCTCCCAATCCCTGACAATCAACAATAACCAACCCCGCAAGAACCACCACCCCGAGCTCACCCATCCTCGACCGGTGCTAGAAGCTCCACACTAGCGTTGGATCGTCTTGACTCGGACTCCTCATCACCGGGAGCATCTTCAGCTTCCTCTTCCTCCTCCTCTGCCGCCGGCGCTGCCTTCACACACTGCGGCCTGATAGATCGAATGAAGCCATGAAATATACTCCACTACTACACGATTACCGCAGTAGCTCTACCGTTCCATTGTTAGTGCCCACAGCCAAGATGTCGGAGTATTTAGGATGCCACGCCACACACAGTGGTGACACGTCGACCTCAGCCTCAACCACTGAAGAAAAAGGACTTCCTCGACGATCCACACCAAAACGTCGTCATCATTCGTCATGAAAACTCCAAACTTTCCCAACCACCCACACTACACTCTGCATTGTCATTCTTCTGCTTCACCACAGCCTTATTCGGACCCCTGTGCAAGAGGCAGCATCCACTCAGTGTGTCCCATAGCCTCAAACCATCAGCAGCGCACGTCGCCAACAGTTCCCCACTGAACAGGGCAGGACGTAATTTCCCAAAGGCGTGGTATGTAATGACATCTCACGTGACATTGAAGCTGCTATCAGTGACCTTTTCACTGTGGCCCTTGAAATCGACCCCCACAGTAGTCGGGAAAGGTCGGAGGTCGGAGGGCGAGGGCAATTGCGGCAACAACGACAACGGATCTGATCATAGCGTATCAACCCGTAAAAAGGTCGCGCCAGCATACCAACGTTCATCTTCTTTTTCACTACTCGAGGGCAAAGATAGAGGTCAAGGCATCGCTCGAACCGCTCTTTGAGGAAGTCTCGATAGAAGGGAACATGCCGTAAACATGCGAACTTCTGCGGCATGTAGTTCTGCTTCCTTATGCTATCATCACCAGCCTCCCATTCAGCCTTCTCCGCCTATCACAGTGAGCATAGGTCAAAGTCACACGGTGAGTCCTTACGTCATCAAAGAGGTACTCCTCAGGAGGGTTATAACTCTCACCATGAGTAGGCAAGGCCTGTTTCGGTGCCGGTATTGGCGCTGGGCCTAAGACGGATTTGCGAAAACTCCGACTAAGTGAAATGCGAGTAAATTACCCTTCAGCTTTCTACCCTCATCTCCCTCTTCCTCGTCAGCCCAAGCGTCAAACACTTCCTCCTGAGACCGCGGCACGAAATTAGATTTACTCAAGGAGTGGTATGAATTTACTTCCTCCTCCTTTCCAGGCTTCTCCTCCTTAGGCTTGATGATACCAGCCCTTATCAGCTTTATCAACCTCTTGACCGTCCGAGCCTCGTCCTGGTCTGGCATGAAGGACTTCTTCGACGGGTAACGGGTTCTCAGCGGATGAATCTTGTCCTCGATGCGATCTTCGTACTCGACCTGTCATCATAAACTCGTAAATGCGACAGCAGCAGCCTCAAGAGCGGAAAATATTAATGGTTTCTCAGCTGAGCGCGGGAAATTCAGGTAGAAGTGTACAGAAACCAACAAGGATTTCCCGAAATCTCCAAACATTTTTTATATTGTCACCAACACACATAGATGGACATGTGCATATTCCCCCCCACTGAGCAGCCCTATGAGCCTACCTGGAATTCCTCATCCTCATCACCGTCGCCACGACCAGTAGGGAAGAAGCCCTTCCGTATGCGTCTGAGGCAAGTCTAGCACAATATAGGTCGGTTAGCACTCACTGTATTATTCTAAGGTCGGTGTCGGTGAGTTTGATTTCCCTGTCATTCTTGATGTCAGTGATGGTACGCCAGGCATCCGGATCCTCGGCCTGATCATCAACACGCCCTCCCCCTCTACTTATATGAGTTGATTCACAATCCTGTAATGATCTTAGATAATTGAAGCATGTTATAAATCATAATATAGTCGAAAAATATAATTATAAAGGGTATGTTGGTAATAGGGATCGCCAACGTGATCACACTACCGCTCTGAGTAAAGTGTCTATCTCGGAAGTCTTCACAGTGCGGGCAATTTTTTTGCCAGAAATATCATAGCCGATGTGGTCGTGGTTGTCGAGATACCATTTCAAGGGCACTTTACCAATACGGTTGCGAGTGTACCTAATACGCAGTCTGCCACCGTTCTCTATGTGCGATCGCTCACTCATCATCCGAGTCGTCCGAGTCGTAGTCGTCATCGTCAGTTTCGGAAGATTCCTCCTCCCTGAAAATGGTATCAAAATCCACGACAAATCGAATCAGCAAGTCCACTAAGCCAGTCTGACTTCACCCTGGTCATGCCCCCAACTACTACCCCTCATCATCATCGGTACTGCCATGCGTACTTGCATTATCAACAACGTCCTCGCCAATCTCGAAGCCGGGAAGTGCCTTAGAGTCTTCGATCTCTTGCAGGGCCGCATCCTCCTCATTGACAGGCTTGGAAGCCTCGGCCAACACTTGGCGAGTCTTCTTTGCAGAAGGCATGGCAAAGGGACTGGGACGACGACGTGACTTGTCACAAATTCGGAACGATAACGATTATGCAAAAGTGCGCGAAAAAAACCTATATCGGAATTTTTCATATAAACGGCGATGTTATCTCCCATTATAGTCACCAATCAGTGTTTTTCCTATGTCCGGCCCCTTTCCCCATACGGACGATGTTGTGGACATCTCGAACGCAAAAATATCTTCCATCGACTTGGCCACCGGCAATCGGACCATTTATGCCAAAGCTGCTGAGGAAACAAGATTAGACTTTCCAGCGAATACAGTCAGAAATTCCAAGTAGAATTGACAGGACCACATGTGTGGGGGAATGAACGTATCTTTGAGTTTAGATACCAATGGTGGAGTTTTCTTCCGGCTGCGTTGTACCTGCAATTTCGGCAAGCTATAAATTTCTATTTCCTAGTCATCATAGTGTTACGCAGCATACCTAGTCTGAGCTCACTAAGGCCCGTGTCTGACGCTATGGCACTGTTCTTTGTAAGCCACCGAGGTCAACCTTAGAAACGTCGGTTACTTCAGGTGGTGTCGGTATCAGTATTACGAGAAGGGTTGGAGGACTATCACGTCCATAGGGAAGACGCTAGGGTCAATAGCACACCTTGCTTTGCTAGGAGGAGGGATTTCGACAGTACTTGCCGGTCCTAGATGAACCTACATTTCCATGGCGTATCTCAGGCGACCCTGAGGAAGATACATGGGAGGTCATTAAGTGGATGGACGTGCAAGTAGGAAAATCTTCGCAGTGCGTAGGTCAAGATCGGCGACATCTTAGGTCGGTGACATCCTCCTTGTTTATTGCGATGAGGCGGTACCTGCTGATATGGTCGTGCTGGGTAGTAGTAGGGATGGCGAGCTCAATGTAAGTCCGATTAACGACGAATTCGGGCCACACCAATGTCCGGGTGGCAGATCGAAACCGCATCGTTGGACGGCGAAACGACGTTGAAGCCTAAGTTCTCCGCTTCTACGGCGCTCGAGTCGCATCGCGAGAGGATAAGGAGGTATGCCAGCCTGGTGGGTAAGACAGGTAGTGGTGTATTGCCTTAGGCATACGACTACAACGATAGCTGAGCCTCCTTCACCATCGCTGGGCAAGAGGCTAGATGACGGCGCGGTTGTTACTTGTGGTGCGCCTGTTGGCAGTCTGGACGTCTTCCATGGTGTTCTCAAGATGCGTGAGGACGGCGCTCCGGTAGTAGTGGTGGAGGGAAATCTGTTGTAGGGCGTCGAAAAAAATTCACGAATTTCCTAACTTTTTTGAGAAACTTTGTGTTTTTTTCCAGAGTTTGTTATTTTCAAGGATTTCAGATACCGTTATCGGCCGACAACTTGGTCCCTCGTGAGGCCATTTTGAGGAATGCCGAATGGATATACGGCATGGCAGTGTAGGAAGCCTTTCCTGGGAATCATCCAGAAACCTATAATTTTTTCGGAGGGAAAACTAATTTTGAAGTTTCCACATGGTTAGGAACCCATTCTCCAATCAGTTTTCCATGTTGATATCATCACGTTAGAAACCTCTGGGAAACGTAATTTTTTCGAAGCCGGATAGGTATCTGGGCCTCCTGTAAACCCCAAATAGGTATACCGGACCGGACACTAAAGTGATGGTAGGACAGAACACTCCAGTGGCTAAGGTCAGCAAAGTACAGAGGAAATTGGTCCAGATGGTGAGTATGAGTATCATGACATGTGTTAAGGAAGCGTTATAGGTTCTTATAGTACTGGGCATTCAAATGGTGATGTGTTTGAGCATGGGCATCGGCAGCTCTATGTCGTCCTTGGGTAGATCTAGTTCGACAATTCCCTGGTATATTGCGGGATATTCTTCAGTGTCAACGGTAATACGTGAAGTGGCCTCTGTAACGAGAATTGGCATTTCTTATAGGCAGTCGATTTCATCATAACGGTCGTGTCTTATATCCCTATACTGCAGTCTTTGGTGCCGCTATCACTGATGGTCACTTTGGAGATGGTCCGGTTATTGCAGAGTTATTTTATAGAGTAGTGATGGCTCTGTGTTGGAGGGTAGGAGTGCCGATGGGCTCAGATACGACACTAGGATGCGGTATATGGGCAGAAGTGCGGTTTGCCGTACTACTACTATCAACGAGGATTTAGGCCAAATTGGGTATATATTCTCGGACAAGACAGGGACTTTGACGGCTAATGAGCTCCGTTTACGTGCCGTAACAGTTGGTCATGTGCATTACGGAGGGCCGGTCGGCTCCCCTGGAGGAGGCAGTCGCCAAGCCAAGGATAGTCAGGAGTTTGCTGGCCTAGGTGGTGAAGATGACGATGAGGAAGGTGGTGGTCATATCGTCCTTACTTGCAATAACGAAGTTTGTATATTTCAGGGGAGGCCTGTCCGCCGGCACGGTTCGATCGGTCCCTTTTTATGAAGCACTTGCGGGATACGACAGATGCCAATCCCGTAGGGCTGGATGCAGGGGCAGGAGTGAAGATGGAATCTCAGAGGGACATATTACGTCAATTTGCTAGCCTTATGGCCACGTGTCATTCTGTTGCACCCGAGTAAGGAACGTTTTCACCCGTGTTACTCCGTCCGTTGGGGTAACGATATGTCCTGGTCAGTTTCGGTACTGCAGCTGTAGCCAGAAGTGCCAGGATGAGTATGAGTGTGAGGCACGGGTCGCAGCGGCGCTCTGTGGTGGCGAGTAGGCCTGAGGGGTGGACGCCGAAGTATGCTGGAGAAAGCCCCGATGAATGCTGCCTGGTGGAAGCCGCTGCACTTTGCCTTGGGTACTACGGCAGTAGGGGAGTTGGTTTAGTATTGTGATAATAGGTATAAGCTGATTGAGAGGGAGCAGGCTCGTTTGGTCGTGGAGGTTGATGATATGACTGTCGGACTCAGCCGAGAGGAATGGCGTGTACAGGGGACGATACCCTTTACTAATGAGAGGAAGAGGAGTACTGTTATATTGGAGCCACCAGGGGATGATAATGATGTAGTATCATGCGTTTGAGATTGGTGTGGTATGAGAGTCGCCAACTTGACGGTATCAGGTACTGTATGTGTACACTAAGGGGGCAGATGATGTTATGCTGCCACGACTAAGCGACCAACAAACTGGATGCCAGGGGGTGACTGCATCTGTGGTGGCCGCCGTGAACAGGTGACACTGCGTAGTGTTGTGGGTTTGAAAAAGGTTGTGGTCAGATATAGTCTCGAGGGATTCCGTACGCTCATATTTGCGATGAAGGGAATATTAAAGGAACAATGGCATGAATATAAGAAAAGGGTAAGAAGCTTCGTCGGGCGCAGCGAGGGGGGGAATTGATGGGCTTTTAGATGAACGATATAGCACTCATGGAGCCTGGTAGTGTTAAGGAGAGTCTACTCGAGGCGATATATGAAGAGGTAGAATCGGAGTTAATACCATTAGGATGTACCGGGATGGAGGACAGACTGCAGGAGCATGTAGGTGTATTTCGTGATTCTTGGGATCGGCGATTAAGGCTGTGAAGGAATCAATGACTTTACGCGTTCTATGATAGAATACGCTTTTCTCATGTCATTTTGGCTACAACGGAGTTTCACCCGTGATATGAAAAACACTAGCGAAAAACACATTTCACGACTATTGCAGGGCGTGAATATCGCGTTTTTCACGGAGGTTTACGCCACTTCACGTAAAACGGGTGAAACCTCAATGTAGAAGGGTGGATAACTCACATTTGTTGGGGAACTGTGCTCAGGTTCCGGAGGCTATTGTGAAGCTGAAGGGAGGCGGTATAAGGGTATGCATGATTACTGGTGATAAGCTTGGCACGGCAATTGAGATCGCCAAGACTTGCGGCTTGGTGAAGGAGACGGCCATGAAGTGGCAGAGGGATGGTATGTGTTTGGGGTCGAAGGCTATGGGCAGGCAATCGCTGGTGATCTTTGATTTTGAGGACCCTGTGGAGTCTTGGGGGCAGCTCAAGAGGGTCGCAGATGAGCTCGTAGGGGGGAGGGATGATTATGGTTGGAGTATCCTGGATGCTGGTAGGCTGGGATGGAGGAAACGCAGAAGAGTGATATGGACTTCGCCATAGTCATCAGCGGCAGGAGCCTGGGGCACGTGTTAGATGATATATACGCTGAGGAGAGGGCTGTTGAAGGAGGTAGTAATTTTGGTATGTTGTTGGAAAAATAGACAGTGTGTGGGTTGCATTAATAGAGAATGCCTGTTGTATGATCCGGTCTGGAAATAGATTTTGACAATATTGAGAATATCCAATACTTCGTCGTTTCAAGTTGGATTGGTTGATGAGGATTTGACGTTTCAGATGACGTCCTGGTGGAGAGTCTGACGTGCCTTCTTATGGAGCGTGTGGGGGTGGTAGTGTGTCGAGCTACTAACGATCAGAAGAGCAAGTGGTAGTGGGAGGGAGGCGGATGATGATAGGAAGTCTACCTTTAGACTACACTATATGACTGTTCATCGTGAAGGGCGTAATACTCCGTGAAAAAGCCGATATTCGTGCTATGCAGTAGTCGTAAAATACATTTGTCAGTTTTGCTCTTCATAAGACGCATATAGAAGGTTCACCCGTTGTTATAGTTGTATATGTTCTGTTGCCGATAACGCAATTGTTTTTCACGAAGTGAATTGTATAATATGTTTTTCACTAGTGTTTTAATATTACAGATGAAACTCTACAATATTATGGCATCATCGTCATTAACAACGTATATTTATATATAGCATCCACTACCCGGAGTGTGGTATGTTTAGGTGTCATTAGTCATGGATAGGGTAGGGAGCAAAGGAGCCCTTTGTCTGGCTATAGGGGATGGGGCCAACGACGTACCCATGCTCAACAAAGCTCATGTCGGGATAGGTAGTAGTAGTGGGTAGTGGGCTGATGTGATGGTTGTTACCTCAGCTGTATTTGGAAAGGAGGGCACTGCGGCAGTCCAGAATGCTGATTTTGCCATACCACAATTCTGGCATATCACCAGGCTGTTGTTGGTCCATGGGCGATGCTGTTATTTGCGAATATCTAAACTGGTCGGTCAGTGGACTCGTATGGGTTGGTTGTTGTTGGTGATGTTCTGTGTAGGTGCTTTACTTCTTTTTCAAGAATATGGTGGTGACAGTGCCTCAGTGGTTGTATGGTATGGCGAATGGTTACAGCGGAGCGACGCTTTTCGATGAGTATTATCTTACGTTTTTCAACCTCATATTTACCAGTATTGCACCTTTCCTATTAGGAGTAGTAAAAGTTATCGGGAGAATCTTTTACGTGTTTCTGCCTCAGGTTTTCGATCGGGATGCTTCCCCGGAGTTTGACAAACTTTACGATCTTCCACATGTGTCTGCTGAAGTGATAAGGAAAGGTTATCCGAAGCTGTAGGTTGTTGATCTAATTCGCTCGTAGTAGTTGACTATGATGTTTTTAGATATTATACGGGCCGGCTAGATAGGATGTTCAGTCGGGAAACGATAGTCCTCAGTTGCGCTGTGGCATTTACTTGTGGGTTTATATGTTATGAAGGAGCTGTACTCTTGGTAGGAGCTCACGAGGCAGCAGTTGGAGGCCTCTGGTGAGAGAATTTGTCGCGCGCCATGAAATTACTTAAATCAGGTTGACATCAGTCCTATGTTACTCGGCAGTGATCTTCCTGGACCTCGCGGTGTTGTTGGTGATAGCTGAGGAAATCAATCTACCCTTGGCCGCCTCTATAGCGCTGTCGCTCGCCCTTTACATAGTGTGGTAAGTCAGCAGCGTGGTGGCGATTATCGAATTTCCCTTGAGAAGAGCTATTGATTCTTGTTTCCCTATCACCCTGGTACATGCCTACTGAACCCTCTCACAAAATAATAGAACATACATTATTTTCGATTTCTCTGTTATTACTGCGACTCAGGTTGTGAGATTTCGTGTGTGAGGGTATCACTTATGTAGGAACAAAAATATATCAGAGTCGTATCATTATTCGCTCGCCTTAGTAAAATTTCTGAAACGGTCAATTCTTCCGCGCTTCCAAAAAAATAGAACCCACCAAGGTTATCTTAAATCTTCATATTATTACAGTTCGGATCTGTCAGGCTGAAGGTGTATTCGTTCGACCCAGGCTCAAGAGTGGCTTATCTGAGTTCCTATGTCATGGGCATGCCTTCCTTCTACCTCTCTGCAGTGTTCTCGGCCCTATTGAGTGTGCTTATACCGGTTGGTATTGGTGGTTGGTATAAACGACATGCATCTTCGTTGAGGGTAACATGGCAGCTGGCACGCAGCAGGCCTGCGGTGAGTCGGGCTACAGTGTCGGTCTCAACTCGCCCACTGTCGATGTGAATTCTGATCGTGCTTGTATGTTTCGGAATAGGGCATAGTAGTATGGGAAAATATGCACATGTGTTGGTAACGAAATGATAATTTCGAGGAATTTAACTTCTATAGTTAGTGTGGAAACCCCCAAGTTCAGTTGAGTAAAGCGAACATATATTTCACCACAGGGTCATGATGCTAGTCTCACTGCAAGTAGTGTTAATGTGAAGTATTGGTTCAGGTGAAGCGGGCACACGTTATTGCGGAAAAGCGGGAGGCTGTAGTGAGTAACGCTGGAGGAGTATCGACGGCAGATCTGCTATCGGATGATGCTGGAGAAGAAGATGATGAAAGAGTGGTAGACGTTTGAAGGTCTACTGGGTATGTTACTGTCATGGCATGCCTCCTAGCTGTGCTTTTGCACGTCTGTGTTATGTCATGATGATGTTGTGTTAGTGGGAGGATGGCTGGTATGACGAGTGTAAGAATCTGCGGCGATATTTTGGGCGAGCGCGTAATTTCATGGCGCGCGAAATTGTAGACGCATTTCTATGTAGTGGTGGCACCTAAAGGCAGCAGGATAATATTTTTTTCTATTGGGCATATGGCGTTCATCCGCTGCGTTGGTGGTATCCTCCTCTTGGACGAGGAGGGAAGGCGACTTGCTGCTAAGTATGGGAAAGTAGTATGCCGGGCTGGTCGTAGTGGGACAGGGTGGCAGGTACTATGATGAAAACAAATTTACGGACCTTGTTAGTGAAAAGAAATTTGAGAAGAATCTCATGGTGAAAACGAGTCGACTTAATAACAGGAATGAGGGTAGTGGCGGCTGGAAATTCGCACTCCTTGAGGTTGGCGTATTATTTCAGTGGAAGTGGCACTGGTGGACGAGTACGTCGTTTTGGTGCGGCAGTCGAATGACGTTGTATTTGCGGTACGCCCTATACGTTTGCTTTCTCGAGCTGATCTCAGGAGTTTGTTCATCAACTTTTGGAGTTTATATAAGAATAAGTGTGGAAGTATCACGAAACCAACGAGAATTTACCAAAATTTCCTCAAATCCGTTTATTGTCACTAACACATGTAAATGAGCATGTGAATATTCCCCCCACACTGCGGGCCTGTGCGTAGGTACTTGCATGTGAGAGCGAGAATGATATCATGATGTTGGATTTTGCAAACAGTTTATATCAAGTTTTATGCAACATAACTCAGTGAGTAGGTTGGCCGTGTTGGTCGTAGAGAATCATCCAGAAACTAATAGTGTTCCTGGGGGGACTCATTTTGAATTTCCCGCATGGTTAGGAACACATTTTTCAATCAGTTTCCTATGTAGATTTCATCACGTAGTTAGGAACACATTTTTCAATCAGTTTCCTATGTAGATTTCATCACGTAGTTAGGAACACATTTTTCAATCAGTTTCCTATGTAGATTTCATCACGTAGTTAGGAACACATTTTTCAATCAGTTTCCTATGTAGATTTCATCACGTAGTTAGGAACACATTTTTCAATCAGTTTCCTATGTAGATTTCATCACGTAGTTAGGAACACATTTTTCAATCAGTTTCCTATGTAGATTTCATCACGTGGTTAGGAACACATTTTTCAATCAGTTTCCTATGTAGATTTCATCACGTAGTTAGGAACACATTTTTCAATCAGTTTCCCATGTAGATTTCATCACGTGGTTAGGAACAACATTTTCCTCATTGTTTTTAAACTCTGGGAGGGTGTTATCTCGCAAGGCTAGATGGGTTCCCGCTGGGTCGTAGAGAATATTTACGTTGTTAGTGCCAACGTGTGCCGTAAGAAGATTCTCGAGAAGTTGGACTTGGTTTTTCTAATGATCGATGAAGCTGTTGAAAAAGGGTAATTTGAGATGGTATGCATTAACTGAAATTATTTGGAATTTTTCCAGAGTGGTATTGGAGACGGAGTCTGAGGTCATCACATCGCGGATCAAGATGCAGAACGATGAGGCCTCTACTACTGCTAGCGAGGATTTGCCTACGAGCTCGACTGCTAGGACGACGACACTGCAGGGTAGTGGTGTTACTACTATGGAGTTTCATCCGTTTTACGTGAAGTGGTGTAATACTCCGTGAAAAACGCTAAATCCGCGATATGCAGTAGTCGCGAAGTATATTTTTCTTCATATCACGGTCGTGAAACTACAATGTACAATGAGTGGTAGGTTATCCTGGATCGGGTCAAGAGGCCTCATTCAAGTCGGCATTGTCGAGCGTCCGTGACCAGATCGGCAACTTCTTGAGTCGGTAAGTGATGACTATTGGAGAGGGGGCGCTTCCTTGTTATAGTAGTGGTTGGGTTTCTGATGGTTGCGGTGGATATTTCATCCTCATCATCAAATGGTTAGTGTTTTTTACTATAGTATTTACCCAGTATGTCGGGGCTTGGGTTCATGGCAATGCATCCCGAGATGGCCTCTGCTGCTTATGGGCTCAAGGAACGGACACATCGAGGTGGGTGAAGGGGGAAGGGAGTAGTTGCGGAGCGAGCGAAGCATATACCGCAACAACAGGCACTTGCGTGTTGTGCGTGCGTGCGTGCGTGCAGAATTATTCTGGCTCAACTACGGAGCGTGAGAGGCTATCAGATAGGTCAAACGACTCCTCTTTATGCGGAGGTGTTGGGAAAATCGGCGAACAGCTCGAAGAGATATGCACGAAAAACTTTAATGATAGAGAAATGTCCTACCCGGGGATCGAAGCGGGGACCTATGTAAAATTCATTGATTGAGTCCATGGACGTGGAGTCAGTGAGCTCCGCCCCTTCGTCACCTAGTAGGAAGTATTTGATGATCGGGCTCAGCACGTTCCTTATGGTGTGAAAATGCTCGTATGTTATGTTGACAGAAATGATGCATTGATAGTGTTGTCTTTGCTCAGGTGAGGTACCGGATGAAAACCTAAAGTTGCGGTTGACGATTGTGGAGGAGGTTTCGGGATTCTCCGAAAACTACAGATTGAAGGACACATGTGATTTGGGGGCAGCCTTTCGGCTTTTTATTAGTGCCTACGATAAGGAGCATGAGGCGGAGCGGAGCAGGAGTAATACTAGAGGTCGATACTAGATTGGTAGAGAGTTGTGGTATGTAGATGGCCTTATTGGGAAGTTCGCCTATACCTATGCTGGTAAGGCCGTGTACAGCGACCAGCGCCCATTCGATATCAAAATCAATAATGGAGACACTATCAAGGCAACACGGCAAACGTAGTATGCGGTAGTAGGTCAGTGTTGGACTGAATCCATTTCCAGATTCGCAGACATGGTGTAGAGGGAGGTCTCTTGTTCCTATAACCTCACATTGCAGGATTGGCTTTACCCTTATTGTTGTTTATTATTATAGCGTCACTTACTGTGTGAGTTTCTATCCATTTCTGCTATGTTGAATAGTAGCATTCATTACTGCCTCCCACTGATGTGATTTTTGTTATGAGGAGGACTTTGACTGGGGACTGTGTTGGTCAGCCATTCTTGACACTGATGATAAAGCATCCACGTTATCCCAATGGTCCCCCTCCTCCAATGTGTGGGGTGATATCAGTATATGCTCGCCCTAAGGACGGCAAGCCTGTGGACCCTACAGTCTATCCTTACTCGGTGAGTCCCTTTCTCAGTAGCCTTGGAGGTAGTGTATCAATTCAGTTGCCTCCTGGGAGTAATATTCGGCCATCGGCCAGAGCCCCTCCTCCTCCACCGGTAATGGCATGCATGGGCGTATCTTTGGGCGAGATCGTTTCTTTGCAGTGCGCACCACCTCCGTATCCTCCTCCTGATATCATAGTACAGCAAGAATCTGCCAATACTAGAGTAATGGGAGTATTGTACTAGTCGTAGTAGTAGCGTTTTATGCTGCTTAGATGGAATATGTGGACCGTGAGGTGGAAGTGCCAGTAACCAAGGTCGTTCATAAGATTATTGAAATTCCAGTACCGCAGAAAAGCGTCAACAAACCTGTGGTGAAGACTGTCCAGAAATTCATAGAAGTGCCACAAGTAGTTCTGAAAGTGTCAGGTGGGAACTTGTGAGTTGTTTAACAGGTAGAGTATGTTGACAAGTACGTGGATGTTCCTGTGAAGAAGTACGTTGATGTGGTTAAAGAGGTCAAGGTGCCTCAGGTGGACCTTAGCAGTCGATGGTCGTTCGTCGACTTTGTGGTGATAGGTCGTAAAAAAGTATGTCGAGAAGTTGGTCGAGTATACTCCGCCAAGCTCCTCTAGGACCTCCTCTGAGGCCGCCTCACAAGGCGACCAATGCGAGGACTGTGGGACAGTGGCTGCTGGCTGAGAGTCGGCTTTACCAGCCTTGTTCTTATCCTCAACATTATCATCATCATGCTGCTACTGTCTTTTGATAGCGATGTTAATACATTTCTTGCTTTGTGTTGACAGTGGGACGGAGGATTGGTCGAAACATGGTTATCGCCTTGAGGTGACAGTCGCATGCTGTTCTGATTTTTTCGCGATCAACAGGATTTTTCCTCATCGGAGATCTCAAGTATTTATGGCACCTGCAGCCCGTCGCCGTTCCCATGAGTCTATTGCCTCGCTGTCATCTGTGAAGAGTCTCGAGGCCCAAGAGAGTCGAGAGAGCGTTAAGGTTGGAGGCACTCCTGACTTCACTGCTATCTTCAACGTAGTCATGACGGCTGTTGGTGTTGGGCTGCTCGCTCTCGCCAAGGCCACTGCCAGTGTTGGCTATGCAACAGGCATTTTCTATATGCTGGTTTGTGGTGTCCTAGGGTGGTGCATGGTATACCTTTTGTATAGATGCAGGGTTATGGCCCTAACTCTGGGGCTCGATCACGTTCCCACTTATGAGGATATTGGTCGGGCTGCGTTCGGAAGAATCGGCCGTGTTGTCGTCGCGATAAGTCTACACATCTCCCTTGTTGGTACGTCTTGTGTGCTCATGCTTCTGCTAGGGCAAAACTCTCATCACATATACGATGGTATCGGAGTCAATATCTGGATTGTTATTTGGGCTGTCATTCTCACGCCTGTAAACTGGCTTAAGACTATGCGTGAGATTGGATTCATGGCTAGCACTGTGGGAGTCTTTTCCATCGTAGTCACCCTGGTAGGGCTTACAGCAGCCGGCTTTTCTCAAGCTTATTCGGCGAGTGCGCCTTACGAAGCGATCGTACCAAAGCCGCTCTCTATTATAGGAGGATACACTACTTTCTCCTTCGCCTATTCGGTCACGTGTAGCACGACGACAGTGACACATGATATGCGTCATCCCACTCACGCTCCCAAGGTGTTCGCTATCTCTTTTGCTGGCCTTATCTCCATATATGGTCTGGTGACTTTGGCTGGGTATCTTGGTTGGGGCCAGAAGCTTTTATGTTATGACAATGTGCTCGAAGCCATGTCCAAGGATGCTTTTGGGTATGTATCTTTCATTGGTATTATCATACTCTCTGCAACACATTATGCAGTATTATTACATCCATCATGCCGTGCTATAGAGTATCTCACTGGGCTCGAGAAAGGAACGACCAAAGCCCGAAGGTTGGGCCGCTGGCCGACACTCCTCATTACAAGTGGCCTACGGAGCCTCCTTGTGGTCGTCACTGCGGTGATTGCCATCACAGTACCCAATTTCTCGTTACAGATCGATCTTCTTTCAGCTGTAACTTACACGCTTATACATTTAATATTTCCACCGTTGTTCTACATGAGACTGAAGCATAAGTCAGCCGGGTATGGTAGGCCTGATAATATGAGTTCTACCAAAGGGAAACTTTTAACTGTATCACTTCTGTTGCTCATGGCTATCGCCTTGATGGCCTCCGGGGTCACCATTTACAAGACTGTCCAACCCGGCCCCACACCTGTCGTATGCCAACAAACAGAGATGGCCAGTGCTGAAGCAGCTGCACAAGGCAAGGACGCCTCGGGCCTGGAAGTGGTTGATATAGAGGACTGGAATGAGACCGAGATCGACAATGATAGGGATCTACGTGATGACTATGATGCTTCTGCAAATTACGAGATGTTGGCGGATGGGAAGACGGTAGGTTATAGATCAGAAGAGGAGGGATTAGATGAAAGATGGTATTAGAAATATTATTCAAGTTATCGAGAATTCTTTTGACCTTTCATTTCAGGAGATTGTGTGTTGCGTCATTTAACAGTGGATAATGCACCAAAAAACTAACGGTGTAGGAATACATCGTACAAGGATATATCCGACCAGTAAGGATATCATCTCGGTGGTCAATTTCCAACAGCTTCTGTTATCTATGACGGGCAGATTTCGTCGAGGAGGGTCCCGAAGTAGCTCTAGCATGTCTGCATTAGCTTACTGAGGATATAAATGGAGCGCGTACTTAGGAATAGAACGACTACGGCTTTCTGTCAGACTTGCACCTAAACTAGCCAGTCGAGTTGAGTTGGAACGCGACAAAACATCTCAACCAAGGCGAGTTCGAGGCCACTAACCTATTCCGATAGTGGCTTCATACTGGTTGATGAGGGGATGCTGGAAAAACGACGAGGAGCATGCTAATGACGGTGTCACTGTAGATGATCAACACTTCTAGATAATGATCGGGTCTTATCGCATTTACATTCCACGGAGGTGACCGCCGCGAAGCATTGTTGAACGTAGACAGCTCCAACAGATACTACATACTCCAACGTATACTACTCTTCGTCCTCCCGCTCTGTAGAAGCGTCTCCTCGAACCTCAAAGGGCAAACCATCGCCCTCGTCGCTGATCAAGATATTCAACGGGTCCAAACCCTATACCTCGAATGCTCAGTACTCCCTGCAGATTGGGAATCGGGAAGATCTTTGAGTAGAACCTGATAAGCGTTTACCGTACCTCACAACAACTCATCCCATTTCCCCGTGGCCATCGTGTTAGCTTCTATATCATCTTATCCACCCGGAATGTCCACACATTTCATGGACATGTCCGCATCTACGCCGAACCGAATCATGAGTGATGAAGCTGAGCACACGCAAGGAAGATTCAAGCCCGGTAACGAGAGTTTAACTCAACAGAGAGGTGGGTCAGTGACTTACTTCCATTACCAATGATCACTTAGCTGGTTCAATCCTGTTGACACCACTCTGTGCTAACTCTTTCCGGCACTGATCCGTGAGACCCTGCAGAGTAACGTGAAGGAGAGCATCACAGCGGAGCGATGCTCACCTGTGTGTACATGTCAGGTAGATGGATGTACCTCACAACGCTGCCTCGTATGAAGCAATTACGCAAGGAGAGGAGATGCGGATACTAAATGAATATTTTGTTCTCATTCGGTCAACAAGACTACCAACGAGACTAACGGATAAGCGTACTGACACTCTCTTGTCAAATGCATTCGAGGAAATACTGCGTCACGCGCCACGAAATTAGTACTTGCTCCGGGTTGTTGATAGAGATGTTCTTCAGTTTAACATTGAAATACTGATCCACTGCCTGCAGTGTGCCTGACGTAATTACCTCTACCGCTGATCCCCTGTGAGTTACTACCCGTGATTTGGACGTCATTTTTCATCTCCACGGTGACCTGCGCACCGCTGTCCACAAGGCTTTGGAAGAAGTCGAAGAATAACATCCCGACCAACAACGCTACAACGGCTAATGTGACCAACCCTTCCCTGTTCGCTTATATCTGTTTCCATAAATACTAAAACACAATAGGTCAGGGAGTCTGTGAATAGATGGTTATAATAGCGACCTCCATGGAGACAGCCACGGAGCAATGTGGGAGTAAAGTGGCTCGTTAAGGAGGCCATGATCTCGCCGGTCCCATGGGCATTGTAATGGCACTGACCCTCCTACTATAGCGAGAAAGACGACCACCCAAAATTGCTTATAAAAACATATATTATGATGAGCCACGGGTCACGTTCCTCCATAGAAAGTACTTCGCGAAGATGAAAAGTCATCAACCCTCGAAATGATTCACCAACAACAAACGCGTTGAAAGACCCATGATCATCTGCATAGAACTGTAGGCATCGTATCATCACGCCATGCTACTGGCACAAAACCTCCGCGAGTTCCTCTATGAATATGCGCAGTAGTCGGCTGACAAAAGACCACTACGTGATGGGAGCAGTATGAAGTGATGACACCGATGCTAATGTTTTGTAGTATATGGTCAAGGCGGTCATGATACACTTGATAAATATGCAACGACACCAATGACAGCACCTTCTCGCGCCTAGGTTGAAAAAAAGACCCCCAAAATTGAAGCATCTCGCCAGAAGCATAAGTATTCGTAGATCAACATGCTGAAACGACTATGGCCTCATCAGCGCCGGTGAGTGCGTCTTCGAAGCCTTCAAGAACCAGAGATATAGTGCTTCCCTCCACATTATCAAAAAGGCCATCCAGATTACAAAATATTATCATAGAAGGGAAGGTTCTTCCACCTGACATCTCTATGTCAGTTTGATGAATACCTTCTATACTGCCACCTTGAGATGAGCGGACGTCACTGATCAGCCTTTCCTTATGTACTAGAGCAACACTCGCCTCGCGAGGGGCACCTCTGGGGAGCTCTTCAGACTCAGTTTTTTGTTTTTTAATTGGTGGCGCGGAAGCCACTATTTCGTCGTCCATGTCATGACCCTCACCAGAGATAATGGTAAACTGGGCATTTCCTGGGTTGGCTTCACCGATCTTTGAAGCGTCAAGCAGATCTTTATCATCGTCACTAACCTCTCCATCAACAGGAGCAGCAGCCTCCACCGTAGTGCTAGTAGTAGCAGGACACGTCGTCAAGGTCTTGGACTTAGTAATGAATGATGGCTGTGCAAAACCTTTGCTGGCTATCTTCAATCCGAGGCCGAGTTTCTGTGCCTGAACCAGATAAGCATCATAACGGAGCGGATGCAGAGGGGCTGCAGTACCTTGCGATTGAGCAATTCTACGAGAGGCTCCTGCTGTTGGTTTAGCTGCGCCCTGCCCTCCTCGGTCTGGATCATTTTTAGCAGATCTGGGCCATATGGAGGGACTGGGGCTTCTAGCGACGGCTTCAAACCCTCGTTATGGTCGACGACGACCTCCTTGGACGAATCACCGTTACTAAGAACTTGGAGAACATATGAGGTATCAATTGTCGTGGAGGAGGAGGAGCAGACCATACGGGTGAAACAGAGATTGCTATAACGACATCCTTCTAGAACGCAGTAAACTCAAAGCATTCTACCAAAACGGCGAGTCGAACACAATGATCAGTTCATGTCCCAACAGCCTGGTATGGCTGCTCTCTCATGACCAGTAAAATGAAGCCCCAGCACCCTCTCTACAATGTTTATCGAGTCTGTAGGAAATGACCTGCATAGGCCCTTTGGTGACGCTATCAAAAGCTTCTGACACCAATGCTGGCAAGCCACGCTAGAGCTACTTTGAGAAGTATGCACATGGCAAACTGAACTCCAACCGAATCACCCAGTTGAATCAAGTAGGGCCCCATAAAAAACCAATCAGTTATTTTCTTTCCCAAGCAACCTCTCTTGAAGATACCAGAGAGATTCGAGGGCATCGCCGAGGGCGAACGGTATATAGTGCTCTCGAGGCCATGACTACAATTGCCCCTGAAAACGGCCTTACTACCCTCCTGCTCTCTACTCACCATCATACTAGGAGTTTCTCACCCTCCAGATCTAATAAAAACGACCATACAACAAACTCAACTTGCCAGAAGAAACAGTGGGAACACATCCTGCACCCGTATCCGTTACTGATCCCCCTTTGTCGAAGACTCCCCTGCATTCATCTCGCTCATGACCACCCAAGGTGGCATGAAGGATGTGATCCTGCCCACTGGCTTAACAACGGAATACTAGACAGCGCATTTTCAGAATCCATCCTCGACAGGATTACATGCACTCGTGATATCGCAGTCACCACCACACAAGGTTATACTAATCAGCGTATACACGATGTCAGGCACCTCTCCTTTTCCCACCGAAACAAAGCATTCCCTCTGCACAGAAACCGCCGCTATATAACTACACTGTTTGACGAAGAGACATCCTCAATAGAAGGACAGACAGATGGAGAAAACTGTCTGATACAGGCCTGACCGGCCATAGAAGTTTTTGCGAGCAATGAATCAATGTGACAAAAAGCGCTGGATGCGACATAGACAACTAAGAAGGTCTAACAAGCTACATAGACTGTGAGTCAATTGTAGACGCTGAGCTCTTGAGCAGTCTAACAGGGAGAGTAAGTCGAGACAGTAATAGCAACTCCGTACGAAGGAGGAACAGTGCTACGTATTACACCATGAAAAGACGAGAGAAAACTAAACATGAGCGACACTCACTGAGTGCACACGAAGGTCTGCTAATGCAGAGGTATAGAAACCTATAGTAAGAAAGTACACAAGCCAATCGCTACGACGATAGAACCGAGCACTCCTCGGGGGACGCTGGAGGGTAGATAGTTTGGTACAGAGTCCAAGCAGATCCAACCCCAGCCACAAGCATGAGAACGATGAAAGATAAACTCCTCATTGTTGCCCGCTTCGAACCAAAGTTCCCTTCGTCTCTGGCCGACCCCTCATCCTTAGAGTGACGAGACAACAGATACTTAAGTCTCATGTAGAATAGGGGAGGGAAGACAAGATGGATCAGCGTGTAAGTCACAGCCGATAGATAATCAACTTGCAACGTAAAGTTGGGTACCGCGATAGTGATGATTGCAGTGATGGCAACGAGAAGACTACGTAGACTGCAAGTCGCAACTAGAGTGGGCCACTTTCCCCACTTCTCAGCTCGCGGCGAGCCGTTTTCCAAACCGGCGAGGACCTCAATCGCCCTACAAGATGGATGCAGTAGAAGGGCATAGTGTGTAGAGCACAACCCGAGAATGCTCGCAAAGGAAATATATCCCCAGACATTCTTATGCATAGCATCCAAGACATTGCCGTAGCAGAGAAGACTTTGGCCCCACCCGAGATAAGCCGCAGCAGTGACGACGCCCAACTGGACGGTAATCGTCGCGAAAGCGTAGAAAAACATCTTAGGGGCATGAGAAGGTATTCGCATGTCATGTACCACAGTTGTAGAGCCACAAGTAACAGCGTAAGCGAAAGAGAAGGTAGTGTAAGCAGCGAGAATGCTGAGCGGCTGTGATACACCAAGTACGTACTCCACGTCACCGTCACTTGCCGCAGCTTGGACGAAGCCACCCACAGTGAGGCCGATGACAGACATGACCACAGCGACAACACCAAAGGTATTCGACACATAACCAATCTCTCGCATAGTCTTGAGCCAATTCAAAGGGAGGAGGAGGAAAGCCCAGATGACAACCCACCAGGTAATAGAAATGCCATCATAGAGATGATAGGAGTTCTGACCGAGGAGGAGGATAACAATACAGCATGTACCAATCAGTGAGATATGTAAACATACAGCAACAACTATCCGCCCTACTCGACCAAAAGCGGCGTCGCCAAGATCCTCATAAGCCATTACCACGTGCATACCCAGCTGCTGAGCCATCACGCGGCAGCAGTACAACAGGTATACCATCAACCACCCAATAGCACCACACACGAAGAGTAGGATGATAGCAGGCAGATATCCCACACTGGCCGTCGCCGTGGTCAAAGCCAACATACCCTCTCCACCAGCAGTCATAACCACGTTGAAGACAGCCATGAAGTCAGGCATGCCCTCGGGGTTAACTTCCACATCACCTTCAATCTTCTCAGACACGTAAGAGCATCTCGGAGATGACAACTCAACCTTCTTGGAGGAGGCGATACTGCTCCTTGAAGAAGACGTGGAAGCCTTGCTGACTGCCAGTGACATTTCTGGAAAAGGCTGCAAACACTACTAAAGAATACCTAAAGACTACATCAACGGAAAGCTACAGTTATACTCATCACGTGATTAAAAGCGAAGTGCTAGAAACGCCAAGATACTCGAAACCGCTCAGGATTCACCCTAAATCCTTCTCACTCCAACGGAAGCCGAGAAGTACGGTAGAGAGCGGTAGATACACGGTAGAGAACCGACCCGTCCGCCAGTAGTGTCATCCACAAGGATACAAAAGGTGAGAACTAACAAAGTGCGTAAAGCTTCCGCAAATAACAAATACCAAACCTCCCAGGAAGTCTGCCTACGAGTCAACGCAAATGGAATCACTTGGTAGAGACTTATGGTATACGATATACAATCCCCCAAAATATGGGACGGTTCATAGGAAATGCACCTCAACTCGAGAAACGAAAGCAGTCTAAGCCTACTGGGAAGAAGCCTAGGCGATTACAGACACAGCGGCGAAACTAGGCATATATGACAGAAACGCATTGACAGCTTTGCATACCAGCACAGCCTGAACATACTATACTTCTGAATAAGGGCACTAGCCTATGGAACACTCCTCCCATGCCTTCAGGGAGATCGAGCAGCTACCCTACAGGAGGATGGTAGACTGCTAAAAGCATCAACCCCATCTTACGATGGGAACAAGACGCCGAAATTACAGAGGAGTCACTGGTGCGTTCAACAGTGCTGCGCCGCAGTCGAGGATGCAGTCGCATTGTTGCTCCTTCACTGGGCGTCAGCAGCGATTCAACGACACAAAGACTTCTGTGATAAACACTAATATAAAGCACTGACTTAGTTGAAAATAGAGCAGAACATATCATTGGCAGCATCTAACACGTCCCATTGCTGCCTGATGAGGGACATCCACGCGAATACGTGAAGTCAACACCCAACCAGCCCACAACGGTTCATGTTAAGCCAAGCGGACTTGCAGAACGCCAACATTGTAGACGAGCGACTCGTCCTTGTGATACCAAATCCGACTTGAGAAGTGAGCGCTACTACAAGCATCAACCCGAAGAACGGGATGAAGCTAGTGCAGCGAAATGGATAGGAATGGAAACCTATAAATGGACTCAAAAAGCATTGCTCATTTGCTCTCTACGATGAGAGCAGAGAACACTCCTCAGGCGTTGCATTAGGATCAACCGTCTTGTAGAGGGTTAGCGCTGATCCAAGCAAAGCAACGAGCATGAGAATGATCAATGATATACTTATCATTGTTGATCGTTTTGAGCCAAAGTTCCCTTCAGACTTGGCCAGCTCCTTATCCGCGAAACTACGAGACAACAGGTACTTGAGCCTCATGTAGAATAGAGGAGGGAAGATGAGATGGACCAATGTATAAGTCACAGCCGATAGATAATCAACTAGCAGTGAAAAGTTGGGCACTGTAATCGCAATGATTGCAGTGATCACCACAAGAAGGCTACGTAGACTGCAAGTCGCGACTAGAGTGGGCCACTTCCCCCACTTCTCAGCTCGCGGCGAGCCGTCTTCCAAACCTGCGAGGACCTCGATGGCCCTACAAGATGGATGTAGCAAAACAGCATAGTGCGTAGCACACAATACGACGATGCTAACAAAAGAAATGTATCCCCACACATCCTTCTGCATCGCATCTAAGACGTTATCATAGCAAAGGAGGCCTTGACCCCAGCCAAGATAAGCGGCACAGGTCACAACAGCATAGACAACAACAAGCGTCGCGAAGGCGAATAGGAAGACCTTGGGAGCATGAGTTGGATTGCGCATATCGTGGACCACAGTGGTCGTGCCGCAAGTAACAGAATAAGAGAAGGAAAACGTAGTGTAAGCACCAATGATAGTAAGAGGTTGCGGTACACCTATCTCGTAATCAACGTCACCCTCATTGTTAGCAGCCTGGACAAAACCGGCGACAGAAAGACCAACAACTGATACGATGATGGAAGCAACACCAATAGTGCTGGAAACATAACCAATCTCTCGCATGGTCTTCAGCCAGTTCACAGGCAGGAGAATAACTGTCCAAATGATAACCCACCAGGTAACAGAGATACCGTCATAAATATGATAGGAGTTTTGACCAAGAAGTAGAATGAGGACACAACTGGTCCCAATGAGTGATATGTGCAGACACACTGCAACAATAATCTTCCCAACCTTGCCAAAAGCGGCCTCTCCCACTTCCTCATAAGCCGGGACAAACTCCATACCCAAATGAAGGGCCATGACACGACATCTGTACAGGAGGTATACCATCAACCACCCAACAGCGGCACACACCACCAACAGGATGATACCAGGTAGATACCCCACACTGGACGTGGCTTTGGACAACGCCAGCATACCCACTCCAACAGCAGTCATGACCACGTTGAAGATAGCGGTGAAGTCAGGGGTGCCGTCGGCCTTCCCTTCGTTCCTGCCAGTCTTCGAGTCCATGGAATACTCGGAACATGAAGATTCGAGTTCCTTAGTACTGCTGTCGGAATACTCGATAGAGGGTTTACTGGAAGAACTTGACATGATGGTGAAGTTGTTAAGATAGGACTGATTATGCCAACAGCTTCCGAGCTATCGCAGTGTATGCTTCGCTCCGCTCGGAGGCTAGCGCGCTCGCCCAAAAATTCATCAGTCGTCCAAGTTGGTCCAGTTGGTAAGAAGGCAGCCATCATGACTCTGCTGACGAGAGCTTTCAACCGCTCCTACGGAGCCTCCCTACTATCTTCTCGAGCTGCTCTACTCTCCAATAAGCAGCAAACCAGATGGTATGTAGGGTGGCTCGATCCGAATCCATCGTAATCAGTGCTCCCACTGTGACGTCCCGTGACACAATTGGCTGTCCCCATTAATGTGAATTAGTCCAAGTGGATACCTCACAGCTTCCTTACCTCTTCATAGAGTGATGCGTATTTGCCAGGTATCGTCATTGGCACCGCATGTCTGAGGACGATTGGGCCCTGCCCTTGGATTCGATGCCTGAAGACGTCAAGACCCTCATGGCTACTCCTCAGACCGAACGAGGCTTCGTAGAGGACTACTGGTAGCCTTTACCTCCTCTCCAGTCGCCCGAACATATCTTCCAGGTACAATAGAATCCGTGGGGAAGCCACTTTGTTGGACCCCGAGGCCTTGCCGTCCAAAAGCTACATCGACCTAGCCAGGGACATGGGCCTGCAAATAGTCGATGAACCTTCCAGCCATATGATGGGCCTCATCGAGCTGTAGACCACACTGAATAAGCTGGTAGTCTATCGCAACGATTCAGGTACGAGTATTTGAGAGGGGCCTCGTTCGTTGGCCCCTTTGGTACTATCGAGAACCCAGTCCTTGTCCCTGCCGTGGGGCAAGAGCGCGTTGTGGCCTGCACTGGTGGCGTTGGTGATGAGGAGCACTTTACTCTGTGGTTCAGATGCAGGTAAAACGTCGGTCTGGGCACACTGATATTTTGATATCTTCAGGGAAGGGTTCATGTATCGTTGTGGAGAATGTGACCAGATTTTCATGCTAGTCCGACTCTACTACGAGGATCGCTACTGGACGCAGACTCTCGTCCGCGACACTTTCATGTCTGTAAGACTGGGTCATCTACGACTTTCATGGGATGCTCATTATGGCTCTTGCAGGATGGTGACATGTTCGACCTCAAAACGCTAGAGAGGGTGCATAAAATGTGGAATAAGGATGAGATGGTCAGATGGGAGGTAAGCTTCTCCACGGTAAGCATGGTCCTAGCATTTGTATTCATTAGGTTGGGTATTGGGCCCAGGATTACGTCTTGGGCAAGGGGGTGTTGCCAGGCATGGTAGAAGAGCATACTCGTGTGAACTAAGTACCGTTATCTCTTCGAAGCTCTTTTTTGATGATAATATTATTATAGCACAGCGTTTGAGTGGAGACCTCCCTCATTCGCCTCATAGGTGACATCACCCTCATAGATCTGCGTATAGCATGCTAGCGAGTTGGTATGGTAGCAGTAGACGGGTTTTGGGGTACACCACAATTAGGGTTGGGTTCATAGTACTAATACGAGGAGCGAACACTGCGAAGTAGTTCACTTGCGTCTTCGATGCGCTCTATGCCTACGCCCATGACGGACGCTGATGAGCTCGACACGAGTCACGAACCAGCGTGGCTGCATGAAGTTGACAGAGTATGTTCAGCACTGGAAGGAGCTCCTGAGAATCTGTAATACTCTAGTTGTATGCAAGAGAGAGTAGTGTGGGCCCCAAGGTTCGACGAAGATAAGTGCCAAGTGGTATATGAGGGCGCTTCAAAGGCCGCTCAAGAGTTCTTCGCCTTACTTGCGAAAAGCGAGGAGGTTGATGGTAAAGTGCACAGCTAGGAGGGAATTGTGGAGGTTGGGTTGTAGGGCTTCTGGGAGCGTTGCAGAACTTGGTGGTGGAGGGTTTGGACTTGGACCAGATTTGGCAGGAAATAGAGAGTCAACAGAAACCGCTGGAAAAAATACTGAAGAAAAAAATGAAGTAGAGGAAAAAATTTTTTGGGGGATGTCGGGACGTGGCTTCATCAGGTTCTTGGAGAAGTTGGCAGCTACTGATGGCATTCAACTCCTCTCTGATGTGGGAGTGGGGGCTACTGAGGTTAGCGATGCGAGGTAGTAGGTAGTAGGATGTGGAAAAGGAATGGTATGGATATCAGTACGGCGAGCGAGGGAGAGGACGAGGATGCTGACATGGTGAGTGAGGCCAGCTCGACTTTGGGGTCGGATCAAGAAGAGGAGGAGGATGGAGAGGAAGAGGGAGAGGAGGTTGATAAGAAGGGTACTACTATTGGGTATTCTTGATATGATAATCGCCGATGTTGTTCCTATTTTACCATGATGCATGCGAGTATGCTGTATGTGCAATTTCTCTTACGAGGTGGAGTCTGATTATAGCGTGTTGAATACGCCGTATCATGTTGTAATGGTCGGGGTAGGTCCAAAGAGATCGGCAGTGGATGAGGGATTGTTCAAGCTCGCGGATATGAATGACTTCTTAGAGAGTGAGGATAAGAAGGATGCTGAGATAGCGGCTCGCAATAAGGTAATTTCGTGGCGCGTGACGCTGGAGTATGCACAACACACTTTAACGAGTCAGGCTAAAGGCCAGGCGGGAGAGGACGAGGAAGAGGATGATGATGATGATGAGGAGAACGAGTGGGGTGATGACGATGAGTTCATGGATTTGGAGAAGCCTCTTGAAGACGATGGTAGGCCTCCTTATGTGCCTTACAGTCTAGAGGATAGAGCGACTTTAGATTCTGAGGAGGTTGGAGTCGATAAGCTTATGTATAGTGACTTCTTTGATGCTCCGGAAGAGGGAGATGAGGTGGCCGTAGCGGCAACCGCTCCTTTGAAGTGAGGGTTTGTTGGGCTGTTGATGCGGCTGTATGGTGTGTGGCAGATCTACGGATGATGAAGATGAAGAGGAGGAAGGTTTGGGCGGCTTACCGGAGGGGGAGAATCTCGATGATGAGGAGGAAGCTGCACTCGAGGAGCAGTTGAAGGAGATGCAGGGGGAACTCACTGAAGGAGAAGAGGAGGAGGAGGAAGAGGATGGTACTGGTCGTTAACGGATGTCGTCTTGTGCGATGATGGATGGTATTTAGAATCGGTAGTCGCGGCTGATGATGAGGAGGAGAAGGCGTCTCCTGTTGTTGCTGCTGCTGCTCCTGTCGTGGAGTCGAGACGCTCTGAGACTTCTGCGTTGAAGAAGAGGATAGAGGAGATGGAGAATGAGATAGAGGAGATGGAGCGAGAACAGTTGGATGTAATGGGATGATGATGATGAATTGGCGAAGGTGTGGTATGATGATAAACGGTGATGATTCAGGAGAAGCATTGGACGATGACAGGCGAGGCCACCGGCAGCAGCCGACCTTTGAACTCTCTTTTGGAGCAACATATTGATCTACCCTTCTCCAAGTTGGCGGCGAGGAGGGCTGAGAAACAGTGGGAGGATGGAGGTAATAATAAAGAAAGCTGTAGGAAATTGGATTGCCTTGTAGTGGTGATGGATGATAGTGGATATCATCTGCAATTTGAATTTTATATTGGGGAACATGATTATGAAATCTGGAGGTTGGGGATCCACTTTCTATGAACAACGTGTGATGGACTACGCTCTTCCCGAGAAACTCTGTGGGAGTGGCATGAGAATCTAAAGTTGAGATTTCCTCAGTTCGAATATGCTCAAGCTCGATTTGACGTTGTTTGAGGTGATGTCGTGATGGTTTCAGAAGAGGAAGAGGATGAGCTTACACAAGGCACTGCTGGGGCCTTCAAGCTTGATGTGGATGCCATTATCAAGCAGAGGGTCGCTGACGAACTGTATGATGATGTGATTAAGCGTAGCGAGGAAGAGGTGAAGGAGTGGTATGGCTTTACATGGAGACCGATACGCTTCCCTCAGGTGCTGCGGCTAAAGGGTAGCCAAGAAGGTGATGATTCTGTGGAGACTCTAAACTTCCAGAAGTCAAGGTTGGGTCTTGCTGACGTCTATGCTAAGCAGTATGAGGCGGAGGTAGATGAGGGTGGTCCATCGGGGTGGCCAGGGTGGTGCTTGCTCAGATGCTAGGGCAGCAGACTGATGCGGAACTACAGCAGGACGCAGACCGGGTTGAGCTCAGGAGGCTCTTCGCTAAGCTCATGCATAAGCTGGACACTCTTACTAATCAGAACTTCACTCCTAGACCGGTATGGAAAGGGGGGCAGGAGAGGTCGTTAGGTGGCTGGACTCAGGTGCTTGATTCAACCTTGTCGAAGGCAGCTAAGGACGGTGATGCTCCGGCCATTCGGATGGAGGAGGCCGTACCTATTACGGTGGCTGCTGGTGGTACTGAAGGGAATGAGGTGGGGAGGGGTGTGGCTTCGCTCCGCTAGGAAAAAGTGTTTTATAGGTTACGAAGGGCCCGGAGAAGCAGAAGGTGAGAGAGGAGATGAGTACTGAGGAGAAGGCGGCAGTGCGGGGCAATAAGAAGGCTAAGAGGCGACAGAAGGCTAAGGAGTCGATTGAGAAGGGTAACGCTACTACTACTACTACTACTACTACTACTACAGGGTATGGTCGTTGTTTATAGGTAATGTGACCGTGGGGGATAGAAGAGCGAGAGAGGCCAAGTTGATTGAGAAGAACAAGAAGGAGAAGGCGGAGAGGAAGGCTCGGAAGGAAGGCCCTGGCAACGACAAGTAAGGTGGTGGGCAGTCGGTAGGATGATGACCTTGGTCGTATTAGGAGTAACCGCAAGATCCGTACTACAGCACTGATGGCTGCTGCGGCGGACTCGGCTGGTCGGGATGTACGGCGATCGGAAGCGAAGAGAAAAGAAGGGCGGAGCGATGCTACGGCTGGCGGCAGCAAGCGGGTTAAGCTATAGTCATACCCGAGTGGTGAGGCGGCGCATCAACGTAAATGTTCCTGTTTCTATTATACGCTTCTGTTACGAGTTACAGTGTCCCCCTATTGTGTGCGGAAGGGGGGAGGTTGATAGTATGTGGTGGAGCTATGGTAGGGGGACAGCCATTGTGTCGGCATCGTGGTGATGTCTGGACGGATGAGAAGAGGTCAGAAAGGTCAAAGTGGCGCAATGTATGTGCTAGTTAAGAATAGTCATGTTTCGGGCCTGTTTTGAATCTTACATAGAGGACCTAGATATTTGTTCAGTCATATTACAACTCCTACCTAGTGACCATGTCCAGAGAGTTCCGAGGTGATGACCATGAGCCGACTTGGGAGGAGGTGAAGGGCCTTCTTGCCGACCCTGAGGCCCCAGTAGAGAAGCGGTACCGCGCTCTCTTCTATGCCCGGAGCCGGGATGATTCTGAGGCGATTGAGGCTCTTTATAAGGTCTTGGAGCCCGAGACCAAATCGGTATGTGCATGCGTGCTATAGTTCATACCACTCCTCATCGAACTTCCAGGTGCTTCTTCGACACGAGGCGTGCTATTGCATCGGCCAGATGGAGCATGGCTTGGAAGGTGCGTGGAAGCTCGAGAACGTTATGGATGACGTTAACGAGCATCCCATGGTGAGATCAGCGGGCGTATCTTTGGTTCAGAAGTGGAAGATACAGAATAGGTCCGATGGAGTGCAATTTCGGATCATGTTAGGTGCGTCACGAAGCCATTGAGGGCCTTGCCGCTTGTGGCTCCGTCGATTCCCTTGACAAGATTCGTCCCTATTTGACTCATGAAAACGAGGCAATTCGGGATACCGCTACCTTAGCCGTCGAGTCTCTCGAAAGTAATACCACTCCTTTGTGAAATCCCCCCTTCCACTCCCCCCTCAGACCTCAAGAGGACTAAGGACACCGATGCTCAGCGTAGTGAGTTCAACACTGTCGATCCGATCGGGTCCAAGGCCCGCCAACACGCCACGAAGACCGAGGAGGTACTTCCAATCTCTTCATCATGGTCATGGTCCACCGTCCCGTCGTTCAGGCCGCTCAGCGTCTCATGGACCCCAAGGCCAAGCTCTCTGATCGCTACGCGGCTATGTACCAACTACGTGCTGCTACTCTGCCCGGCTCAGTGTAGGCGTCCTTACCTGGGGTTGTCCATACCACTCCATTCCTAATTCCTGTAGGTCTCCCGATCCGGAAGCTCTGAAGGCATTGGCGCGAGTGTTGAGGGAGGACCACACCTCAGCTTTGATGAGGCATGAGCTCGCCTTCGTCGTAGCCCAGGTTGCTTTCGACGCTGATAAAGAAATGGTGAACATAAGCTCCTAGCGCTCTCCCTGGATCATCGTCCTTTTCTGAACAGACTCTTTCTAGTGTCCAAGCCCTCATCGACTCTGTGAAGGATAGGGAAGAGGCCTGCATGGTTCGACATGAGTCAGCTGTGGCCCTGGGCTCTGTGGGTGGCGAGGTCGCCACCAAGTTCCTTAGGGACTACGTCCAGAGGCCTATCGACCACAACGAGGTAGTAGTAATAGCAGCATCTTATTCGCCAGTGTTGGAATATGTATTCGCTTTCCTCAGCAGAACTTGGGAGCTTCCTCACTAATTATAGAGGTTCATATAAGTGTACAGAATCGAACGGAATTTCCTCAAACTTTTCTCAAAATTTCCATAGTGTTACCGTCACATGTAGTTGTTTCCTACACTGTTATTTGTCCAACTCGAGTGTTGTTGTTGTTCTTTTCAGGACGAAGCTGTAGTGATTGAGAGCTGTAAGGTCGCGCTTGACGCCATCAACTTCTGGTCGGATATGACGACCACTGGGACTGAGGAGGAGGAGGAGCCCGCAGTAGCAGCTACCACTGCCTGAGTGTTTGGTGGTCAGTGATATTACCCTTGGGAGAAAGGTCCGAGTTAGGCATGTGTCGGGCGATAGGGAGGCAGTTAGTTCACTCTACTTGATGAAGCGAGTTTCTTATTAGTACTGTCGTATCTTTTCACTGGATGATACCACTCCTTCCTGAGTTCAGTCATAATAAAGGCCATACTGGGTAATCGTGTTGTATTCAGTCGTTTGTAGCGTCGCGAGAGCCGCTCTCCTACGGGGTTAATATGGCTGAGTCTCCTCAGGGGGGTACCGCCGGCGGCAAGACCCTCGATAAAGGGTCACATAACAATAGTGGGGCGAGCGAAGCTGTCAGCCCGAGTGAACCCACCACTCTAAGAGGCGTGCTCTACTTCAATTGTAATACCGTAAATCCGTCACTTCCTACTGACCATACCCCTCAGTCCTGGATACAAGGATGGGTCCAGCAGCGTCCCCTAGAGAGGGGAAGTCCTCTGCGGCAGTAGTGGATGCGGCTGCGGCTGCGGCCTCTGGAAGACCTTCTGGTGGCAGCCTGCTCACGAATGAGAGGCTGCTTGGCCCGTCTGCTGGGCCCCGCTATGCTTTCTGTCTGCGTAGTAATGTTTTCTCACAGTATTACATTAGTGAGAGCAGGTAGTAGTAGTAGTAGTAGTAGTAGTAGTAGTAACGCAGTTAATCACTTCACAGGGTTTCGCTAGGTTCCCCGATTCCCTCATCATTCCATCAGCTTTTGAGTGGCCTTTGGAGCTCTGTCTTGTCGTCCAGCCTGGGCCGGTAGATCCATATCTAGTTTGAACAAGTAGCGAATGTCGACCCCTTAGGGCGTGCCCTTTCCTTCTACCCTTCCATGGTACTGTGGTGCCCAAGATCGTACCAAGAAGGTGGCAGCATCGAAAAGTGGTAGTAGTCCGAAGCAGTCTGGAAAGAGTGAGGCTAGGATAGTGGGGGAGCCCTTGAAGGTGTTGGAGGTCGATCTAAGAGGCGACTGTATTGAAGGCATTCAGATATCATACAAAGATGCTGGCCGGGGTGGGCATATGGTAGATCGCTGGGTGCAGTTTACACACGAAAACAGACTCCTCGAGGTAGTGGTAGTGCATCCAAGGTTGCCCAGCTAAAGATTCAAAACAGGTCCGCATACAGTACAGTGTGTGTAAGGCTTGGGATATCCTTACTGACGCCATAAGGCCTGACGAGGCCAGCAAACCTGCTATAGGCCAGATTATCAAGATGGTTAATAACCCAGCTGGGGTAGTAATAGATGCAGAAGTGACAGGATGAAGAGGTGCCCTCTAGGTCCTGCCCTATGCCCTCTATCACGTCGCCTCGGTCGCCAATAGCGATAAGACTGCCTTGATTCTCATGCATGCTATGGATTATACTGCTACGCTCCGCTTTTTTGCCCGACTGTCGGAACAGGAGGTAATAATGATGCTCTTATTACCGGCTCCATCCGGAGCTTTCTGGGAATTCTCATCAAGAACCGTGTAACGACCAGTATGGGAAAATATGCATATGCTCAACTACATGTATCGATGGCAGTATGGAAATTTTGAGGAAATATTGTTGGTTTCTGAAAATCTTTCATTCGTCGATGAGGAAACTACTCCTCAGCTGTATAGAGCGAACATATATCCCACCATATGCTATCGTAGTCCAAGAGTATACGGAAGGCGTATGTGTCAGGTCTTTCGAGTGTCAGCTGGAGATCGTCCAGTGCGAAAATTGCTGTACTTATTCAGCAACATCGGCTGCTTTCTGAGGGCCTTCGTGACAGTGTATAGGCGCAAACAGCTGAAGGAGCATCTCAGCCATATACAGTCTCAAATTCGTGATCTGGCTGTAGATGGAGGGGTAATACTCGTAGTAATTTTGTGGCGCGCGAAAATATCATCAAGCATTCATTTGATTCAGAAACTATCTCGGCAACAGCGACTCAATCGACTGCAGACTATCCTCAACCGTCTACTGGAGGCCTTAGTTGACTTCACTACCACTCAGCTACCACAACACTTTTTCCACGACTTGGACGATGCCTGTCGGCCCAATTTCAGCAACAGCAATCTCGTTATTGGAGGGGTCCTCTGCGTCCACGTCTGCTCGGTAATAGTCCACCCTTCTACTACCAGTGTCGGGTCATCCTCTTTGTAGGCTGTATTAGCGATGCCTCGACAGTTGGAGTTCATAGGGAAGGATGACCCAATCAGTCCAGTGGCCTCGGGGATCTGGCTGGCTCTACTCCGAGCCACATTCTTGTTCTATTTGATGGTAGTTGCATATTCAAGCTTCGCTCCGCCTTGAAATAGGATACTTTTCAGCTCAGCGAGCAAGTCGACCCAGCCAGGATTTCTGAGTTCGTCCCGGATGAAATATACACTCTTGTTCGTGGTGTTGGCTTCGATGTGGGCTACCTCTTACCGGGTTTCTTATCAATCATCACTCTGGCTCAGGTCCGAGCAAAAGCCAACATTCAGTTCCAAATGCGCATTCTTCAGTCGAGGGGTTTGCAGCCTCCAGCTAAATCCGATAGTGCCCTGGAGAGCTCAGCAGCAGCTGAGATGCGCATGCCTGAGAAAGCAGGGGCTCTATTGAGGGATATGCTCAGCGAGAAGTTATATGACGTCACTAAGATCATACACAATCGTCCCGAGTGAGCTATTGGGCCTAGCTGGGTGGAAAGGTGGCACCGATGGTGGATCAGGTTCATACCACAAGGGTTCAGTGTAAGGGAATTGATGCTGCAATTGGCCAGCTGTGTGAAGGCTCGTAAACCAGAGGGGAGTGTCAAGGCTAGGGCTGCCAAGACTAAGCCGAGCTCTACTCCTATCCATCCACCAGAGAGCGATATTGTAATGATTACAGTAGATGTGTTAGTCTACTAGTCTGAGGATTTATAATGGAAACAATTCTACAGCAAAAATTCGAATACAGCAGTCGTCAAATGAACGGCTTCTTTTGAATATGAAATTTGCTCGAAATCGAAAATTTCCGTTCCGGGCGGCACTGAGGGACTCGAGTACTCGGTGTTATCTCATTTATCCTGATAGCAATTATATTGGTGGGATTCTTGTATCACGATTTGAGGATGAGAAAAATTGATGCTGTAATAGTTGCATAAACTCTTGCCATCGTTACTGTTCATCATCTACCAGTTTGTATACTTCGTCATCATCACCTGCAGGTTCAAGTGACGCCCAACGGTGTATGTGATCGTTCGAGTATAGGCTCATTCGCATCGATAGTTGCCCGGGTAGAGCCTCTCTTTCAACGCTCTCTTCAGTGGAGCAAACGCGACCTTATCGAGAACAACATCATGCAAGGCATCAGCATCGTAAGCTGCCTACTGTAATAGTCGCGCCGTCTCTCAACGGCTATTCAGGTGAGGCGTACTGCCAAGCCTTTGGAGGCCCTTCTCGTTAAGCGAAAACCGTTGTCTCAAATGATAGCAGAGGGCCGTCTCCCAAAGGACTATATTGACCAAGTATGAAATAGTCTTTTCTTCTGTCGGTCATTCGCCTTCTCTTCAGCTCTTTCCCGATAACCCTACAGCTGCTCCTCAAGCACTGCCATCTTCTCCTCTTCGTAGACGCTCTAATTCTACGAGCGAGAATAGGTAGTCACACTTGATAGGTTTATCCCTACTGTCCTTCAGTCCTGGTGCCCGGAGTGGTCGTTTCCGCCGTAAGTCGACCTCCTCGCTGAGCAGCAGTGACCAGAAGGCTGACCGAAAGGATCACTCCATCCCAACGCCGAATGGTGGTGCTCCTAACACGTTGCCGCCCACTAGCGCCTCTAAGTCGCGTAATATTTGTGTTGGTGGAATTATATTCATGAGTTCTCTCAGCCGCTCCGGTGGCGGTCTCTACGAAGGGGCCAATAACCAATACCGGGCCGAGCCGTGTGGCAACTGAGGAGGAGAAGCCGACCCAGCCTGTTGGTGGCCAGACTGTGGCGGCGGTATCGAAGACGATGGAGCAAGCATCGAAAGCTATCGTAACCCCAGCTACTCGTTCTCAAGGACCACAACCCAAAAGAGGTAGGCTTGTCCAGGATAGTGTGTAACTTCTTGGTAGACTTCTTTTAATCAGTCCCATCGCCACCTCCATCACCGAGTAGTGGGACGACACCTCTTCCTGACTTGCCTGAGGACTATCGTCAATACACTGGAGGCAGTAACACTCCCGTGCAACGAGGAGCCTTTACGCCCCAGAAGGCTGTGGCCACGCCATTCCTGCAGCTTCTCGATGCCTTTTGCAAGAGGGTTTGTGGCAGTACCACATCTGTTGAAGGACAACACCAAGCTGGATGCCATACTGGAACTATTCACTATTTCCATCAGTATGCTTGTCATCGAGAATTGGCGTTTTCAGCTGTCCTTGTCCAGGTACCATTTGCATCAGTATCATCGTTCGGTCCACCACAACGCACCACAGGTTGTCCAGCTGACTAACCCAGCTCCGCCAGGTGAGGCCATCCGACACTCGGGGGTTGGTTAGAAGTCATCACAGGTACGATCTACTCACGGTCGCCCTCGCCGGGCCAAGCTGCCTTCTCGGGGCCACCTGTGTCCCATGGGCTGCGCAAAAGTCCTTCTGGCAGCTTATTGACAGAATCCTCCAGTCAAGGGCAGGGCTCGACCACACAGCAACAACAACAACAAGGCCAACAACAACAACGTGCGCAGAGACAAGGTAAAGGTTGATGATGCCAATGTCATCAGAATCGGGTTCATCTCAGGCCAGCAGAAGGCTCCCGGTGCCCACATTCGACAGAAGAAACGGAGGCACTGAATTTCTTCAATCATTGACTGTATTTGAGTTCAAAGAGTTATACTGAACTGGGGAGTCTAGAGTACCGAAATCCTAAACCTTATGAAAACTGGATCATCAAGCTCACAGCCATGAAAGTATTGGAGCATATAGAGATAGCTGTACGGATGGGTATAAGCATGCACTACCACGCAAAACCTTATGCAACAGGAGGATGGGTTTTCCGTCCTCTGGTGGTTTCATTTACATTTGTTCAGATAATGTGTTTACTAACGGATACAATTTGCACAAACGTTTGTCCATCGACTCCACAAATCCTGGCTATGATTGAGTCATCTCCTGTGGGCCAAAGTATATGTCTCCACTCCTGCCATTTTGGAATGAAAGCTTTCACTATCGGCCTTGAGGCATATCCTTGCGCCTTAGACATTCGACTTTACAACCTCTAGTCGCTCCAGCAAAAGTGTGTTTTCTTGTAGACACGTAATCCTAATGTCGATATTTATGTGACTATCTCATGTTACTGCTACCAATACTTCTACTATAACAACGCTAGACACTGCTGCCAGTTACTGTCGAGAAACTAGCTGTTTATTAAGCAAGACAACACGCAGAGCATTAAAGCTCCCTCTCCTCCGCAACAGCTGGTGCCTCTTCCCCAGGATACAGCCAACACACAGGGTTCTTCTTTAGACTCGTCACGTCCATCTTGTGACCGAAGAGCTCTCGAATGTTACCGATACCGTATTGGATCATGGTGGGCCGTTCGACCGAAAGACCCCAAGCGATCACCGATACATCCTCAGGGATGCCCTGAAAACAATTTTCGACTTACCCGGAGTGTTCACAAGGGGCCTACCATAGGTCGGACCATCTCCGGTCGGAAGATACCAGAATTGCCTATTTCCACCCACTTGTCCAGCATTGGGTGGAAGGCGAATATTTCCATGCTGGGCTCAGTGTAAGGATTATACGCAGGCTTGAAACGGAGATCAGTGAGGCCCATACGTCGGAAGAACTCCCGGATGACCTTCACGACAGGGGGTCACAGATAGGAAGAGATGGCGAGCATTTCCTTACTCCGATCAAATTGCCGAGAGTGAGGTTACGGTCAGCTACGAAGCCCTCCACTTGGTGGAACTCAGCGAGATGAGTCGCATCGAGAGTCTCATTACGAAAAACACGATCAATAGAGAAACACTTCTTTGGCCTGAGGAAGACATATTAGGAAAACGACGTTCAGAAAGCTGCTTACTTGAAGACACCAGTACGGATATAGTCCTGTCCCATCTCGTAGAGAACACGGGTGCTAACGGCAGTGGTGTGGGTCCTGAGGAACACGAGTGGCCTTCTATGATCATTCTAGTACCCACCTCAAGATGTTCTTCCGAGACTCCTCCTCGGACCAGTCATATCGCCATCCAATAGAGCCGTACCCTCCAACCTCGTGCATCTTCCTGAACCGAAGAAGGGCAGTGGACGACGTAACTATCCCCACCATGATATTACTTCACGTCATTCATGTAGCCCTTGGGGATCCTGTTGGTCGACTCAGGAGAGGTGATAAAGAACCTAAGACAACCTCGGTGATAAGACACAACCTGCTGCAGAGGTACTTACGTGTCATGGGCGTCCCGAGCGGGGTGCTGCTGGGGTTGGAAAAGGGCATCAAAGTTCCAGAAGGAAGATTCCAAATAACGGTTAGTAGGCATCTCCTCGAAGCCCATAAGGAGGAGAATATTCCTACAACAGACCAGTGTAAGAAATGAAGATGTGATACATACCTAATTTCAGTCTTGACCTTAAGAAGGGGATGAAGATGACCACCACCAAGGTCTCGCCCGAGAGCTGTTTTCAGGTTGTAACTGAGGCAACAGCAACAAAAGATCAAGGGTCATCCACTTATCGATCAACAACCCTTCAATGCGACATGTATAGCATGAACCCAGGGTATATAGGAGCTTCACCCTAGTGATATGAAAAACATATTCCACGACCACTGCATAGCGCGAATTTCGGGTTTTTCACAGAGTGTTACGCCACTCCACGTAGATCGGGTGAAACTCCATTATATCAATAATACACTATAGTAGCATATCAATACTGAAACTATATTGATATGAATATACGTATTCACCATATTTTCAAGTGAGGCACTAGGGCATACTGCAGAGGGACCTACGGTTTGAACTGGACGTCCTTCCACGACTTGTTTTGTATCATCTCCTGAGTGAGCTCTGTCTCCTGCTTGACAATCTCCGTTCTGAAGTTGCTGGTCTTGTCCACCTTGAAGCCTGTAGTCTTGCTCAAATGTATCTACTTCCGATATCAACCATAGAATACAACACTCAATGCACTCACCAATTTCCTCTTCTTGAGCATGTCCATATCGCCTTTCGTGAGGGAGCTGGCCTCGCCCTTGCCCACCTATCACGACGGCACTCATTCCTTAGGCGCGATAGTACAACTACCTTCACCAACAACTCGGCGACGGTATCCTCTATGGAGTCCTCAGCCTTATCGGAAACTGACACCGCTTTAGTGGCCTTATCCATTGCCAACCAACCGTTCTTCATAGCGGCTCCAAAGCCGATCTGATCCACCATCACAATGGATCACGACATCATCGTCCTCCCGCTCTACCTTGGCTACGTTCCCGAGAGAAACCATGATGTCCTTCTGTGCACATGGACTATGACCCTTGACATACGCTACGACCTATACCACAACTCCTAGAGCACTTCCTAGAAGCCCCTATGTGCCCTACCTGGGCCTCAGGACTGCCAAGGGCAGCGTACTGCTCTCCCTCCTCCGTGGTGGTCCACTTCTCCTCCTCGAATGGTGTCGTAGTGACGTATTGAATCGACTGAGAAAGCACTGGATGGGAGTTCCTCTTAGGCATTACTACCTCGAGACTCTTGATAACACCAACGAGCTTAGCATGGTCCCAGCCAGCACTCTGGGCCAATATGATGGAATCCTTGATACCATCACCCTGGTCAATCACAGTGAGAAGCGTTTCCCGAGTAAGAGGTAATCCTGGAGCCATATAGAGGACAGTTGTGAATGGTAATGAAAACCTGGCTAAGGAATAGGAGGCCTTCCAAACACAACTAGTACGCCCAATACGTTGCCTCGAAACGCGTGATTGACGTTTCAATTCGTTGATGATTATTTTCACATGGGGAATTCATTCCACGTCAGACATGGCTTCATCATCACCACTATTGGTCTCCTCGTCCTCCTCATCAGTGGACAGGATGCCCTCATTCTGAGGGGCACCCTTAGCATTAGATCGGCAAGCCGCCGTGGCCTTACCGGCTTCCAGACCTGCACTATGTTGTCCTCAGAAGTGCTAGCTACCAGAGTGGGCTCGAAGGGGTTCCAACTGATGTCGGTAACTCGAGAGCAATGGCCACCTGAGAGGAAGAAAAGACTCACCTTGAGAAGGACCCAATGGGCACATACCATGGACGAAGACCATCTCAGGGGGTCCATCCATGTCGCTGCCGTCCTCAATTTCCTCCCCTACTCGGGAGAGGTCCCATACTGTGACTCGACGATCGAGGCCTTAGTAGTGATGGTGATGGCCTCAAGGGTGGTGAATATTACCAGCAGACATGATCAAGTGGTCAGTGGTGGGGTTCCACTCTATGTTCAATACGTCCTCCTTATGGCCATGCTCTAAGGCGTGGACCCTGTAGTAGAAGGACGTCAGGAACAAGCGGGGCCTACTACTACTACTACTACTACTACTACTACTACTACTACTACTACTACTACTACTACTACTACTACTACTACTACTTCCGTGAAATTAGTCGCATATCCCACAGGCTTACTGTCTTATCACTACCAGCCGTAGCGAGCATCTAAGGTGATCACGCTGAATCATACGGTGCGGTATGAGATGGCAAGACCCACATTATCATTGTGAGGGGAGAACTGGACGCAGTTACAGTCAGACTCCCCTTCAATAGCCACGACCCTATGAGCTGGCTGGGTGGGTGACCTTAGGTCCCATCTGGAGCAATGATGGTCATGGCTGGGTCCACAAAGGGAGCAACCGAGTTACATTAGGAGCCGTCCATCATCACCAGTGGAGGCCAGAATGTCTCCATCACGACGATGAGTGGACACGGCCTCGACCGCATCAGTGTGGCCGGCGAGGACACTCACAGGGCCAGCACCTTGGCCCAAGAGAAGTGGGGAAAACCCGAGCGGAGCGATGGCACTAACCTTCGCCGCCTTTGGGGACATTATTGGCATCCCAGACTGCCACCTTGCAGTCGTAGGCTCCTGAGACCAATCGGCCCGGTACGGTTGGGCTCCAGGACAAGGCGTATCTAGAATGTGGAGGACTGGTTGGGAGGGGCCTATGTGGGGAGGAGGAGTACCCCTCAGCGGTGTGGCCCTTAAGGGTGCATAGGGAGTCTATGACGCCCTCCTTCTTGGGATGGCAAGGATGCTTAGAGTAGTCAAAAAGTAATACTAAGATGAGGGCCCACTGTGGGGTTACGAAAGTACTGAGCTTACTGTTGCCGATGTTGGTCAAGGTGGCGATGATGAAAGGATTTTGGGGACAGTACCTAGTGAGCGATGGGACTGTAGGAATCGGAAGGGAACCCTACTTGGCCCTGTTCACTTCCCCGGGGTGATTAATCTTGGTGGATATACACATACGGTCCTTACTAGCGGCCAAAGCAGCCCCAGACTCTAAGAGGTCCTCCATAGGTGCCCTTCACCCCTCGATAGTATTACCAGGAGTCTCAATGTACTTGTCGATGTCCACCTCTTCCTTGGACTGCTGTGGGACCTTCACTTGCCCTATCATGAGGTAATTCTGATCCCCATTGGAAGTGTGCGTGCCAAGGATCATTTTGTGGGTGGAGTAGTCGCTGGCCTTATCGAAGGCCCTATGGGTAGACCGTCGTGGACCGTCCCAATAGGCTGTTCACTTACGGTTTGACAGGAAGCCATTCAACGGTCAACGAGGGCCACTCCATGGTGTGAGAGATGACCATATCGTAGAGAAATGGCGTGTTTTTCTTCCATATGTTGAACCTGAGTTCCTACTACCAGTACTCCCGCGATAGGGAGCGGCTTACTCCTCGTCAATCTTGTCATCGGACCCATCTACGTCCACGTCATCATCGATACTCGATTTGGAAGGCTCGGCCACCTTCATTTCACAGTGGGTCAATGACCGTTGGGAGGGAGAGAATCGATGGTGAAAATACCGGTGCCGGGGATCGAACTTGGGTGGTTTGCAAGAACCGAATTTTGCTCGAGGTGTGTGCCCTAATCAAAATTCTCGAGGTTGAAATTCCTTGGCTGTTTGTAAACCCGATCTGGTAAGTATCACATCCGAGTGTCTTCACGTGTCACTTGGCCATGAATGACTCGACTGTGGGAGGGGGGAGGGGGAGGAGGGTGCTCCAATGGTCAGCAGAATCGATCTAAATTCGACTTGAAATTACCGAGGGGCACCGAGTGAACAATAGATAGTATGATTTTGAGTTCCTACAATATGTTATCAAGACACTTTCTATCTCCCAGAATCGGCGTCGTCGTTTTGGGTTCTCGTTTTTACCATCATGCAAGTCCTGTGATCCAAGAGTTGAAGACTAAGGTGGAGCACCTGGTGGCTCGGGAACAACCTCGCCTCCTCGAGTTGAAGAAAAAGCATAAAAACGTCGTTGTTGGTGACATCACTGCTGGTATGGTCGTGGGCGGGATGCGTGGCATCAAGGCTATGATCACCGACACCTCCGACTTGGACCCCGTTGAGGGTATCCGTTACCGTGGTAGGAGCCTCAAGGAGGTGAACGAGGCTCTCCCTAAGGCCCCTCCCAACGGCAAGGTCGGCCTGCCTGAAGGAGCCTTTTGGCTGCTGATGACTGGCGAGGTCCCCACCCCTGAGGTCGTATCCCATCTGAACGAGGAATTGCATCGTCGTAGTTGGTTGCCTGGTGATGTTATTGAAGCCATCGACGCCTTGCCCACTTCCATGCACCCTATGACTCAACTGTCCATTGGTATTCTGGCCATGCAACCCTACTCCCAGTTCACGCAGAAGTACCGTCAAGGAGGCTTGGCTAAGAAGGACTATTGGGAGTACATTCTAGATGACGCCATTACGTTGATTGCCCGTGTTCCGCAGGTGGCAGCTCGGGTGTATCGGAGGTCTTTCTATAACAGCATTTTCATTGAGACTGATCCTCATCTGGACTGGGCTGGCAACTTTGCCAATATGCTGGGAGTATCTGAAGACGAGAATTTCAAGGAGGCCACTCGGTTGTATTTGACCATGCATGCTGACCACGAGGGTGGTAACGTCTCCTCCCATACGACCCATCTGGTTGGGTCAGCTCTAGCCGACCCCTTCTATGCTTGGGCGGCTGGTGTCTGTGGTCTTGCTGGTCCCTTACATGGTCTGGCCAATCAGGAGTGCCTCAATTGGCTCACTAGACTTGAGAAGTACCACCAACGACTTGGTATTGAACCCAGTGTCGAGTCGGTGACACAATACACTAAGGAGACTATGGCAAACGGCCTAGTGGTTCCTGGATATGGTCATGCCGTCCTTCGAGCCACTGACCCTCGATACGCCATAGAGAGGGAGTTCTGTCTGGAGCACATCGCTGATGACCCGATGTTCAAACTATCCGAGATTTGTTATAAGACTATCCCGCCCATCCTGAAGGCCACTGGTAAGGTCCAGAACCCCTACCCTAACGTGGACGCGTTGTCTGGTACGATGATGCAACACTATGGACTTAAGGAGTCTGACTACTACACTGTTACCTTTGCCGTGTCCCGAACGATAGGAGTTATGGCCCAGATGATTTGGGCTCGGGCCATGGCCATGCCGATAGAGAGGCCCAAGTCGGTTACTCTAGACTGGCTGGCGAAGGCGGTGATGGACAGGACCAAGGAGTAACTCCTCGGTCGTCGGCGGTTGGGAAAATTTTTTGGAATTTATGTCAATGAATACGGCACGACAGCGTGCCGTTGTCGTACAGACGCGCGATAGAAGAAAACGCCTCCATTTTTTATGTGAACATATCTCGGCATCGTTTTTCTTCTTTAAAGCTGTCACGTTGCTGTTGGGTTGAAGGGGACAGGGGGCATATTGGTAACGACAGTTGGTCCATCTTGGTTCCAGAATGGCAGCTGTTGGTATTCCTATTAAACTACTTCACGAATCTGTGGGGCATACAGTTACTGTGGAGATGCAGACCGGCGAGTTGTACAGGTAACCATCATCAGAGTAGGTAGTGGAGGTGGCGGCGTACTAGCCCCCTGTGGTGCTCAGGGGTCATCTCATTCACACTGAGGATAATATGAATCTGTTGATTGCTGAGGTGGTAGTGACGAGGAAGGATGGCAAACAGACTAGTCTGGAGCAGGTAGTATCCTCTTGGTGAGGTCTCGTTTCTGAGGAGTGGTGGTTGTTAGGCGTACATTCGTGGATCTAAGATTCGTTACATAGTGGTACCGGATAACCTCCGGTATGCTCCTATGTTCAAGCCTAGGAGACAGGGTGCAGGTAGTGGGGTGGACCGAGTCTTTGAGGAGTAACAATCGTACTGGGTAGGTTCTGGTTGGGGTAGTCTGAACGCTCCTGGGGCTAAGGGTGGCAAGGGTAAGGGTGGTAAGGGTGGCAAGGGCAAGGGCAGGTTCTAGAAGGGTCCTTAGCCTTGTTGACGTCGTACTATAGAGGAAGCTTAGCTGAGAGCAGATGGAGTCGGCGTAATACTGTATCGCTGCTTTCCTGAGGTCATCAACTCCAGCGCCGCAGCGTGAGCGTTGTGTTTGTCAACATGAGGACTTGGGAGGCTATCAGTTGTTATAGAAGTCTCGACCATGTCTGATCCCGATGAAGTTTATGATACCACCGGCCCAAGGGGAGGTGGGAGGGTCTATGGTAAGGCTGGGGCATTGTGGTTTAGGTGCTGATGGTGATGATAATGATGATAGCAGTTTTGGCGGCAAGTGGCGTGCCTTCGCTGATATCGTGAGGGCTTTGAGGTTGGCTCCCCGCTCTGTTGTGCTATTGTTTCCTCGTAGGGCCCAGCCCTAACAGACCATTCGGATGCTTCAGAGGGTCGTCCATGGGCTGAGGCTAGGGTCAGGGTTGGGCAGCAGAGTCGAGAGGGCTCCATGTCAGCCGCGGACGCCCTGGACCAGGAGCTGGGTGAACTGCTTAACGAGATCTCGGAGCCTGTTGGGCATGGTCCTCCTACTGTGGTAACGTATAACACTGCACTGCCCAACCTGGCACTGCAGCGGGTGGAACCGGAGTGCTCCTATGAGGACATGGCCGAGGCAGCGGCACTGTATGTCCAGCAGTTGACGAGGCGTTCTATGGCTGGTATT